TCGTGGACCTGTACGTGCCGCGGAAATGGTGAGCGACCTCCGCCCCCACTCCCGCCCCCTCGACCCCCCACTCCCGCCCGCTCACTGCGCCCCCCCTGCAGCTCCGCCAGCAACCGCATCATCGGCGCCAAGGACCACGCGTCCATCCAGATGAACGTGGCCGAGGTGAGCCGGGCGGCAGAGGGCCAGTCCCGCCGGGGAGGGAGTTCCCAGGGCGGCCCGCGGGGTCGGTCATCCCCGGGCCCCAGGTTAGAGCGAAAGGTGCCTGGCGGGCTCTGTGACGCGCGTGGACGATTCGCAGGTTGATAAGGTGACGGGCAGGTTCAACGGCCAGTTCAAAACCTACGCTATCTGTGGGGCCATTCGCAGGATGGTGAGTGTGCCCCTGCTGCGCTTCCCGGGCGCGCTGTGGGCCGGGGAGGGGGACGTGCCGGCTGCCCGCCCCTTCCTGGGGTGCGTGGGGGAGGGGGCGAGGGGCCGGGGAAGGACCACCGTGACAGAGCACTCAGGCGGGCCTTGACCTTGGTTGGCGCTTGCGGGTCGGCAGGGGCGGCCTGGCCTCCAGAGCCCCCCCGCAGTCAGGTGTGAGGCCGGGAGACTGGGCTGGTCTGCGCTGCGGCGCGGGGGAGCAGGGCAGATGGCCTACCGTGCTTGTTTCCAGGGTGAGTCCGATGACTCCATCCTCCGACTGGCCAAGGCCGATGGCATCGTTTCCAAGTGAGTAAGAGGGCCTGGTTTGGGCACAGAGGTCCTGGACCTTTCCAAAAACAAGGTTTAACATTGTCCTTATTTTTGTCCTAGGAACTTCTGACTGGAGATCACGGATGTGGGATGTTTGTCATAAATAAATAGTAAAACCCATTTGTGTCGGTTTGTTCTAAGACTGGGTGCGTTCTTCTGGGTGTCAGAGGGTCAGGGCTGTGCGTGTTTGACAAGGAGGGGCCACTCAGCCGAAAGGAGGCAACCAACCTACAGAGTACATTGCAAAACCACGTTTTACTTCGAACCACAAATACATTACCATTTGCAAACAAATCACCACATGTGACTGGACAATGAGGTCAGATAGTCGTGTAGCGCACTTTTCAGTCGACAGCTGCTACCAAGTGCTGAGAGCCCTGTTAGGCCCTCAGACACGTCTCACACGTCTGGGCTTGTTCCAGAGAATGAGGGGTTCAGGCTGAAGTTTGGCTTCAATACTGGCTTTGCTGCAGTGACAGCTGAACACCACACGAGAGCAGCTTTCTGCACAGATGACACGAGGACACACCAAGGGAGAAGCTATGGGTTGTATGTGAATACGTGAACTCCGGTCGTCTCAGCTGTTCTAAGGTCTGCACGGAAGTTCCAAGGACACGTGCCCTTTTCTGAGGTGAAGCTGTGGACCGGGATGTACACTTGGGGTCGGTCCCTTGCAGTACTTGTAACCTAAAAATATCCTTGAGACACGGGGTGGGACAGGTTGCTATCCAGAAGGAAGCTTCCACCTTCACCTTGGGTACGTGTGGTTTAAGGGGCCACGTTGGAGAGGACAGGGCGGTATTCCACAATAAATAAGCTTGGAATATGGACTTGGGCTTTGACCTCCATGCTGCAGTCTCCCCTCACCCCAGGAAGGAATGGCTGGCCTGTGGGCAGACACGGATGCTGGGGTCTGGGTGGAGTTGCTGGTGCCTGAGCGCTGTGATGAGAACTGGGGTCTCCTTTTTGCAGAAGCACCGGTCCACACATGAGTACAGGCAGGGCTGTAGCCAGGGCCCTGTGACAGGTTCATAGGACAACAGTAGGGAAGCAGCTAAATGGCCCGGCCAACATGGTCATTTCTGACAGCAGCTGACTCAAGGGGAGAAACTCCTCAGTTCTTCACTGTTTGGTGGGGCAGCACGCTGGAGAACCAGGTCACAGAGCGTGCGGAACGGACACGCAGACCTGGGAAAGCAGAACGGGCCCTGTTGGCACACGGGGCACAGGCAACGGCCACTATCCCTTGGGCTCCTTTCATGACAGCGGGGACTGCTGCTCCCTCCTGCCTGGGAAGAAACTGTGAGCACCGACCCCTTTAGGGAGGTGGTGCCATGGGGTGCAGGGCCGTGGAGGAGCCCGTCTCCTGCCTGCTTGAGGATCAAGTGTGGTTTCAAGTCAACTTCAACAGATCTCATGTAACCAGTTTTTGTTCCCTTAAAAAGACCCATAGAACCAAATCCCAAGTAACAATAAATAACGCTGTTTTTCTCCATCACAATATTGCTTAGGAAGATCAAGAGCCAAGAGCAAGCAATCCAGACATCCTGAAAGTCCAGAGTGTCGCAGGTGAGCAGGGTTTCCCGGTGAGAGGTGAGGGGCAGGTCCCCCAGGGGCGGACCAGTGTCTGCGCCGAGGCCCGCCGGGCTGTGCGACCCTCGGGCACCAGGATTTCACAGTGACAGGATGCTCGGAAGAGTAACGAATGAGATAAACCGGAGTCTGCTCTGGTTGACTTAACCCAACGCCAGAGCTCTGCCTGTGGACACAGGGGCGGCAGATGGGCATCCCCGGGGGGGAGGCAGATGGGCATCCCCGGGGGGGCGCTGCTGGGCCGGGAGCCAGCCAAGCCGTGGGGGTGCAGTGCTGCGTCTCCACATCCGAAAACCGTAATAGCCAAGACTGATGCTTCGTTACGTTAACTTCGGCAATTTCAGTGTGTCAGGTATGGTCTGGAAACCCAGATCTTCACTGAGATGCTCGCGCAGCAGCTGTGGTTTGCGGAAGACGCAAGGGAGAAGGACGCTGCAGAGCTGGGATGACTGCACAAGGTAAGCCAGGGTCCCCTTGCAGCCCGCTCTCAGGCACGTGGAAAAGAACATGAAACCTCCCACCTTGTTCCTGTGAAATTGCAAGCAGGCTCTCAGGAATACCATGGGCATGGTGTGCTTTGGAACGAAAGCAGTGTCCCTCCAAGGACGCAAGGGTGTGCAGACAGGGTCGTCGGTCACAGAGGGCAGGTGGGTCCCCGCCAGGTGGGTGCCGAAGTGGGGACCTGTGGGCGTGCCCTGCAGTGCCTGAGAACACCTCCCCGGCCCGCGTGTGAGTGCCTGCACCAGGGCTGTCTCGGCAGCGGAGGCCAGCCTCCCGGCATGTGGAGGCCGGCCTCGGCTAGAACTGCTGCGTGAGGCGTCGGTAATGAGGTAACACCTGGCTCTCGGGAAGGTAGAGCGCGAGTTCCAAGGCCACCAGCACTGTGAACTCGAACCCAATTAGATCCCGTCTGTTGAATCGAAACCTTTCTTCTAGCTTCTGCATTGAAAAAGCGAGGAGATTATGCGGGGCCCGGGCCCCGTCTCCCACCCAGGGCAGCAGGTTGGGGTGTGGGTGCAGGCCAGCTCCAGGTTCCCCACAGGCTCCCCGCAGGTGGCCAGGCCTTATTGGGGGGTGGGGGGGCTGCAGGCCAGGCTGGGGCGGGACAGGCACACTCACGTCGATGAGCTGCTTCACTTCACTCCTGCGGAGGTCGCTGCTGATCTTGGCAGCGAGCAGCACGCACGCCCCAGCGCACAGCTTGCGGTTTTGCTTGTTGAGTTTGCCCTGCAGGACGAGCTTCTCAAAGTACACGTAGGCCATGGACACCGTCACGGGCTCCAGGCTGCACTCCTCAGAAAGGTTCCGCATCTCCCGCTTTAAACTGCAGGTTACACGGAGGCCCAGTGCTCAGGGGCCGAGGAAGTGGCCACCCTCTTCCTGCCCCAGGAGGGCCCTTTGGGCTGCTGAAAAAGCCCCATTCCCTGCGGGTGGGCCTGGCGCAGCACTCGGCCCGCAGCGTGGAGGGCAAGCCGGCTGATGTTGGCCCGTGGCATCCCCCCCCCGCCCCGCAGCTATACTGGCCGGCCCACACTGTCCTCCAGAGAACACCACAGAGGACACAGTCCCTGCTGTCCTGTGGCAGTGAGGAGGACAATGCGGGGAGAAAACCGCCTGTGGAAAGGCCCCGTGGTGTAGACACGCTGAAGCAGCGTCTAGACCTTCAGTGAAGCCCCTGCGGGTGCTGCTGGGGAGGGGTCGGTGGGACACAGTGGGGCCAGATGGACCCAGGGCAGGGCAGTCCGCCACTTACTCGCCGTGAGGTCTTGGGCAAGCCTCCTTGGCCCTCGATCCCATTGATCATGGGGGGTCAGTGCCCGTCTCCCGTGCTGTCCCAGGACGGCTAGGAGGTGTGGGTATGAGAGGCAGCGAGGTGGCCTGGCCCACGGAGGTGGTAGGTAGGGGGCTAGGGAGCTGCTGATCTTGGCCTGGGCAGACGGCAGGGGGGGTCTGGGTGGGGCACATCTGTATTTGTCAAGCTCAGGGACCTACCAGAAACGGGGGAGGAGAGGAACGGCCCCATCGGGCGGTGGGGCCCAGAGACCTTGCCTCAGCCCCCCTTACCTCCGGATCTTGCTCAATGTCAGTTTGATGTGCGGGAACTTCTCTCGGAAAGTCTCGTTCATGTCCTTCTTGAGGTCAGAGGGCTTCACGTACTCTATCACCGTGGTCTGCAGGAGAGAAGGCAGCAGGGTAGGGAGCTGGCCCTGCACAGGCCTGGGGGCCCACCCGCCCCAGCCCGTGGGCTGATCTCATGCTGGCCGGGGACTGCGATGTGAATGTGTGGCGGCTTCAGGCAACAGCGCTGCCGAGGACAAGCCTCCGGACAGAGGGGCAGAGTGGGCAGCCCCGGGCCGCCAGGGCATGGGCTGAGGGCAATGGTGACCCCAGGGCGGTGTGGTCAGCACAGCCCTCCGGCCTACTGTGCACCCCCTCCTGCTCCTGTCCCGAGGTGCTGCTGGTGTCCAGGGGGTGGGGGGCACGTCAGCCCTGCCCTGGCGGCTTGCCCTCGGCCTGCCCCCAGATACCCAGAGGCGTGCGGACTGGGCACGTGGTGATGCTCACCGTACCATGTAAGAGGCGAAGATGAGGACCCGCTTGTGCTTGCCGCAGGGCCACTGTGGGTCGTCCAGGAGGTTGGGGTTATACTCCAGCGCATCCCCTGCGTCACTCCCTGCATGCAGAGGGCAGCCCTGACCCACCACGAGCCCCCAGCTCTGGCCAACCAGCTTCTGCCAACCCAAGCCTCAGCTGGAACCCTGGTCTAGTGCCGGGGGGGCCATGCTGCTGGGGCCTGGGGTCTCGGAGGGGCTGTAGGCCGTGGTTCCCCGTCCCTGAGGGCTGGATGGAAGGAAGGCTGTCCTGACGAGGAGGGGCCCCCTGCCCCCCCGCGTCCATGCCAGTGCCTGGTTGGGTGAAGCCTAGGCTGTCTGCTCTCATGGGAGTCCCTTCTCCTGACCCTGCCTCTGAGCCTGGCGCCCTGTCTGGACTGGGGACTGTGGGCTGGAATGGGTCTCTGGTCAGCCACATGCTGTCCCTTGCCCAGCTGGTGTGGCTGCCTGCCCTGCGCCCAGTTAGGGCATGTGAGGCTACCTAGCTCCGTGCCGGCTGGCGCTGACTTGGCCGGGGCTGGTTTGTATCTTGAGCCTGGCAGAGCGCGGGGGACGCTGGGCCGGGGCTGGGGCGGCAGGCCGTGGCTGTCCGTCTTGTGTGTGACCAGGGCATTGGTAGGATACAAGAACTTGGCATAAGACACCACCTGGAGAGGCAAGGGTGTCAGGGCTCAGTCCCTATTGCCCCTGGGCCCATGGCCCCGTCCTGAGACCAGAGGGAGGGCAAGCTGTGCCTTACGACTTCCTGCTGCAGGAGGGCCCCGCACAAACGCCACCCTTACGTGGACAGGGAAGGACCTACTGAGAGCTAACGCTCCCAGGCAGCCCCGCGCTGGATGCTGCTCACCTGGCGTTAGCGTCCTCAGCAACAAGAATGTTCCAGAATGCCACCCTTGCCCTCCTGCGTGGGGTCTGCCACACAGGGACCTTCTCCCCGCCTCTGACCGACAGCAGAGGTGGCACCGGGACACCTCCCGATGCAGGTCATTTTTCGTCACTTGGCCACTGAGTGAAGCGACGGGGCCTGTTCTTACGGGGCTGTGGGGTTTCCTCCCACCCACACCGGGCGTTTTATAAGATTCAGGGGGAAACGTAGCTCCACGTGTTTACTGCCTTGGTGAGCGCAAGCTCTGTGCTCGCCCACCCGCCCCGACCGTGGACGGCACCCACACTTGCCTTCCCATCTGCTCCCAGCTCGACGCCTTCCAACTCAAAGACCATCTCAGAAGACACGGAGACGCCACCGGAGGGGTGCCTCTGCTTCTGGCTGTCCACCCTGAGGTCACTGCAATGCACAGGATGGGGGACAGCTGCCTTCCTCTGCCCCTGGAGGAGGCCCAGTCCCGCCGCTCCGCGGGCCCAGCACTTCCTGTTCCAACACTCTGGAGGTTGGCAGTAACGGGGCAGCACTGACCTCTACCTGAGGCCACCCCCTTGGCCAGCGTGGCCCAGGCCCATCCCCCGTGAAGGGTTCCTTGTTGCCAGGCCCCCTGGTGCCGCCCCCACCCTGACGGCCGTGTCCTTCTTCCCGGAGTTCGGTGTGGGACGCATTTGCCTGGACTGCTCACGAGGACGCAGGGCAGCATCTCCATGAGGCGCGTCCCAGGCATCTGCACTTAAGCAGCTCAAACAAAGTAACGGTGCAGACACACCCTGCTAGAGAACCAGGACCCAAAAGGCCTTCAGAGCTCCTGAGGAGCTTCGGCAGAGCCGATCCCCTGAGCTCGGTGCCTCCCCGGGCCGCTCACCTGACCCGCAGGCCTTCTCCGTAGGGCAGCACTGAGAAGGCCGCACACAGGGACCGCCTGGCGCAGATGAGCACGATCCTGGGGGGAGGTGTTGGTCAGAGGAGGTGGCGGGCGTTTCTGGGACAGAATTCCTTCCCCCCTAGACTTGGGTGACACAGGCTGCTGGCTGGGACTACCGGGCCCCCGGGCTCACTGAAGCCAGCCCAGCGCTCAGCACCAGCACGAGCCCGTCACGCTGAGGGTCACGCTGCGGGGGCGGGGTCTGGGCCGCTGCTAGAACAGAGCTCCCCTACCAGGGCCGCTGGGTGGAGGCTCGGCAGCATGGCCTCCAGCAGGAAGGGCAATGGGCTCAGATGCCTCAGGGCTGGCAGGGCGGGCCGTGAGGGTGGGCGATGGGAACCCCTGGGGCCCCCACACAGCGCCTACAGACACAGAAGCTCCGAGGGCCACCGCACCAGGCCTGTACCCGTTTGGGGCCCCTGCATCCTGGCTTTCTGCTCAACCACCCCCTGTGCTTCCCAAACAAACCAAGCCCTTCTCTCTCGGCCACATTCCATTGCCACGCCTGCTCTGTGTCCCTTCACCTGGGCTACCAGCGAGGAGGACAGGATAGGACCCAAGCCCTCGCTAGGTGCGAGGCAGACACGGTGGGCAGCTCCAGGACTATAGGCAGGGGCCCAGGATCGGATGGCAGCCCTGCCTCTGGGCGGCCACGTGCTTGCCGTGGCACGTGGTACCTGCTGTTCCTTGTATCATACTGCCTCATGTTCTTGATGAAGTGAGTCTTCTTCAGGCCTTTGTGTCTTGGGGATCCGGATATGTGTTTGGTTCTGCAAAGTAAAAACCAGGTCACTCTTCCCTCCCTCGAGACCCCCTCTGGCCCCGGGTCTCAGAGACACTTACCTCTGTACTGAGGCACATCCCACAGCATCTTCCAGGAACTCGAGAGAGCAGCGCTGGGAGGCGACTCGCCTTCTGTAAGAAGACAGAGCAGGGCCTCAGCTAACAGACCTGGGAAGGGGCTGCTCTCGGACCCAGAGACGTGCTCTCAGTCTTCTCCCTGCCGAAGGGGCAGCCCACAGCCACCGACCGGGTCAGGAGCCTGTCTGGGGTGAGGTCTGAGCCTTGGGGAGGGCCACCCAAGGACCAGAGTTTGCCAGAAGAATCCAAGCTGGACCAGCACCCTGGTCCGCTGCCCGTGGCCTCCTAAAGCTCAGCCTACACATTCCAGGCGTCCTCTCTGGCCCAGGATTGGCAGGGTGGGTCGTGCTTACCCACAGCAGGCTGAAGGCAATGAGGCGCTGCAGGAAGGCCTTCCAAGGTTGGAGGAGCTGCTCCTGGAGAGCTCACAACCTCCTACCCCGTGTCAGGGGAGCTTCTCATGCCTGAAGGCTCAGAAACCCTGCGTGTCTGCACCCTCAGTTCGAGATCACAAACCCCGGTTACTGGCACCCAGGCCACCACTGTGGTCACCTGTCAACCTCCTTGTCCTCGTGGGGCAGACATGCACATCTCACCAGTGAGGGCCACTTATAACAAAGCTGTGCAGATGGGCCCCAAGTCCCCACACCTTCCCAATGAGAGGGAGGCTCCCAGAGGCCAAGGCTGCGTGGCCCACAAAACAAAGCGATATGGGCGCTGCACTCAGCCCAGGCCGGCAGGTGCCAGGTGCCCTGCGCATCTAGAGTGTCAACTGAGTCCGGGCTCCTGGGGAGGGGTTGGGGGGACACATGTGGCCGAGGAGGCCACTTCTGGGAGCTACAGCCTGCCCAGAAGCAACTCTGTCCTCCCGCAGGACCCCTGGCTGACAGATGAGGCCCAGTGTGGTCAGGCCACCTCACCAGGTGGAGCGAGCCTAGAATCCACGTGGCCACCGTCGTGTGCTAGGGGCCCAGCCACCACCTCCTGCCACGGAGCCACTGCCTACGGGAGCGTAGAGCAGCTGGGCACCTGCCCCAGGTCACACAACCAGGGCAGTCCTGGGGGACTCCAAGGCTGTCAGCCACAGCCCAGGCTCCACGTAAGTCTTTAAAATGACAGAGGCAGCAGAAACTCGTTGAAAAGAAACCAGAATCGAACACGGCACAACCTCTAGTGAAATGCTGGGTGTCCCCCACTGCGGCCCCACCTCCGGAGAGGGGCGCTGCCTGGTGGTGGTGGGGGAGGGCACCCGCCTGCCGGATGAGAGTGCTTGAGAGTGCTGTGAGTGCGAGAGTTAATCAGATAGGGGAGCCCAGGCTGGAGCCGCAGTCTGAGGACCGGCCGGGGGGGCGGGGGGAATGGGCCCAGGGGCCTCTGCAGGCGGGTGTGCAGCTGGTCAAGGAACGGCAGGAGGGGCATGTCCGGCGGACACCCAGCGTCCTAAGAAGCCTGGGGGGTGGGGGCGGGTGAGTAGGTGGACGGGCAGGACCCGTGCCAAGAAAAGTCGCTGACTTGGGTAGAGCCCGAGCGGCCCTGCAGGGCTGGGCTCAGAGGCCCCGTGCAGCGGCCCCATGAGGCTTCCTCAGGGCATTTTCCAGGTGGTGCCCCAACGGCTTCCGCACACCTGGGACCTCACCTGCAGGGCCCAGGCCAGTAGCGGTCTCCACAGAGGCCCGGCCCCGCACACAGCCTCTGGCCCACTGCCCGGCAGGCGAGACATGGGCCTCTGCCGCCTCGCTCGCACCTTCTGTTGATTCTGGGATGATGCCACTCAGCTCACCAGGCTTTAAAATCTGTTCCCAGTTGCTTTTGCAGGTACCTGTGGTTTTCTTCCAGTTCTCTCTCCTGAGCATTTTACAGATACTCAGCCCTCACGATAACTGCACACGATGGGCGGTGTTACTACTCTCAGTTCACACGTGGGGAAACTGAGGCACAGAGCGGGCAAGCAAGCTGCCCGAGATCACACAGCTGGTCAGGTGCTGCTGGGACCTGCACGCCCGTGGGCGTTCTGTGCATTTGCCAACGGCAGCAACACTGCCTCTCTACCCCCCGCAGACCCCGGGGCTGGGCTGGCTGGAATTGAGGCCACCCCTCAACCATGCCCTCGGGTGCTCCTCTGCTGAACTTGGCCTGCGTTCCAGGTGTGCTGTTTGGGGTGGCATGAAAAGCCTATGACAATGCTGATCACCGAGCCCCGAGCTCTGATGCGCAGGTCTGCGGGGGCACGTGGGACATGGGAGGCCCAGGCGTGCAGACCTACTGTGTTCTCAGGATCAGGCTGATGTGCAGATATGGGGGGGGGAGCGGTACATCCCCGTCTGCAGAGGGCTGAGTGAGGGCACAGTGATGAGCCGGTGGCTGCAGAACATTCTGGAAGTGCAGCGTCTGGGCAGGAGAGAGTGTGGGCTCCCAGGGACCCCAAACTCTTTGGGTGTGGAGGTGACCGCGTGTCGGGCGGCACCTGGTCTGCAGGGTTCTCAGAAAGTGAAGGCGGTAGGGAAGCTGGCAGTCAGAGCCCCGGTCGTGGACGCACACGACTATCTAGGGGCCGCCCCAGGTGGTCAGGCGGTGCCTACCCTTCCCAGAACGTGGAGCAGCTCAGCCGCTTTCAAAAGGGACTGCTGGCTAGTCAACCTCTGGCAGGTGGCTCCTCTGGAGGAATGTCCAGCCCCTCAGTGAGTCCCAAGGCAAGAGCACCACGCCCTCGCATGTGGCCCCAGCAGGATGGGCTCCGGCCAAGGGTGCCCTGCTCAGCCTCTCTGGAAGCTGCCCCCCAGGAAGGTGTTTCTGTGGCCAGCAGGCATGACAGGACATCCCAGCAGCTGCCTCTGAAATAGTCCCCGCGGGAGGCAAGCCAGCGCGGTCAGTGGGAGGCTGGGCACACCGCACTCACAGCGCGCCTGGATGCACAGCACCCACGGTGGGGACGGAAGCTGGCTGCGGAGAGCTTCTGGGGGACAGCGTGTGCTGCCCCCAGGGCGGGACACACATTTTACACCCCCACTTAAAAACACTGCTAACAAATACGCTACAAAGAACAAGACTTGGGCTCTCTGCTACCTGCCAAGTCGCCCCAGCCCAGGAAGCCTCTCTGCTGAGCCACGGCCAGGGCCAGGGTCCGCGGGATGGGGTCTGCTCACTGGCGACTGGCCCGAGGCTGCCTGCGTAAGACTCTCTGGGGAAGAAGGAGCCAAGGGTCGGGTGTGGGAGAGGCACAAGCGGCCACCGTACGGACCACAGGCCTGCTCAGCCTCCGGTTCACTGTCAGAATTGCCCCCCACCCCAGATGTGAAATGCGCCTGCAAACAGGAAGAGAAATCACTACTGGACGGTTTCTATCGCCTGACTAACGCCCTTTACTTTGTCACTGCAGAAATACCCAGCCAAGGAAGGCTCCCACTTGAGGTCTGTTTGAGGGCCGAGAACCACCCAAACAGAGTGAGGGGCCAAGTGAAGGGGTCAGACCAGCTGGTGTGGGCTGCTGACAGGCACTCGTGCCCACGACTTGGGCCCCTCTCCTGCTCCGTGCCCATCTGAGCATGGCACCTGACCTCGCAGATCCTTGTGCATATCTGTCCAAGGAGTGGTGGTCCTGGGCACCCCATCTCACCAAGTCCCTGCCAGGAAAAGCACAAACCCCACATTCCAGCCAACCGCTCCGAGAGGCCTGAAGTTCCCCCGGTGATGGGACCCCAGGTGTGGTCTCTGGGGGCCAAGTCTCAGCAAGGCCTCCGAGCTGCCACGGGATGATGCACCTCTAGGCTCTAACCTTGGCAACCATCTCCAGCTGTCCTCCAGCAAGAACCCCCCAAATCAGAGTTGAAAGCAAACTGCCAGATGCTACACTGAAAATGGTTTAATTTCGACAGGAGCTTGGCAGCTTCAGGAACACGAAGTGGCTCCTGGCCAGCATGGCAGCTGAAACCCCAGGCCCTTTCTCGGAATCGTTCCAGTGTGAACCGTCCAGAGCTGCGAGGCTTTCTGCTCCCCTCTACCGCAGCAATGTCCCTGGCCTCATGGCAGCACCCCTAGCTCCCCTGTGCCTTGGACACTAATGAGGGCTGTCGTGGGCTGAGCTGGGCCCCCCAAAAAGTTATGTTGAAGTCCTGACCCCTGACATCTGTTATTTTGGCCCTGGTTAGAGATAGGATCTCTGTAGATGTGACCAAGTGAAGAGGGGGCCCTTCGGGTGGGCCCTGATCCAATGACTGGTGTCCTTACAAGGAGAGGCCAGGTTCAGACACAGACACACAGGACAAGCGTCATGAAGACGGAGCAGAGACTGGAGGGATGCCTGGGCCACCCAGAGCTGGGGGGAGGCAAGAAGGCTCCTTCTCTGGGGCTTCCAGAGGGAGCGCAGCCCTGCCCCGCCCCGATCGCAGCCCTGCGTCTCCTAAGACAGCGAGAGGAAGTGAGGCTGCGGTCCGATGCTGCCCAGCTCGCGGGAACCCCCTCGGGTTTTCTAGGAGAGGAGGGTGCGGGGCCCGAGAACCTGTTTCTGCCAGCTGGAGGAGCCCAGAAGCCCACCTGCTTGCCTTAAGTGATCGCGGTGTTGAGATTAAAGTAAACACCGTGTTAGAGGTTCTAGGAGGGAGGTTTGGACTCCAGTGACTTGCTCACTGGCTTAGCAGGAAAAGCCACACCGGGCTGAACCCCGAGGGTGAAACACAACTTCCCTGCTGTGGACTGAGTGTGAGCACTCACTGGGTAACCTGCTTGTGACAAGTGTCTGTTCACCTGGCCCTGGCCACGGCCACCCCTCGCTGAGCCCTTGACCTCATCTGACCTCACAGAGCCCCTCAGGTATGTAGTACAGAAGGCAAAAGCACTTCACAGAGGAGTAAACTGAGGCTCAGGGAGGCTCCTGCCCAAGGTCACAACAGAGCCCCTTCCGGGTGGACCTAGGGTGACAGCGCGTCTGTCCCCAGAGCCTGGCTCAAACCACCACACTCATGGTACAGACTTTAGGAGGGGGCCCCACTACCCCCACTCTGGAAATACAACTGATCCTCAGACTGGGCCTGCAGCTAAGAGCCCCTTGGCTTGGCTGGACGCCCCTCACACACTCTGTAGCGACTCTCTTGGGCAGAGCCCGAGGAGGGACAGTTCTGCGCAGGCAGGTGTGGCCCCGGAGGGCAGGAAGGAGGGAGCAGCAGGAGAGGGTTCATGTCCCGGGTGGAGGGACAGAGGGACGGGGGTGGGTGCAGCAGGAAAACCAAAGGGCACCCCGCTCACATCATTTCCCATCCTGCGCCAGCGTCCTCCCCAGCTCCCAGGAACGGGTGGTGCCGGGGCCCCACCAGCCCCTGTGGCCTCACAGGGCTTCTGCTCACAGCTGCTGCATCCAGCACCCACACTCCCCCCCGCCCCCAAGCCCTTCCCTGGAGCGTGGCCCCAAGGGGCAGGCTGCTGGCCCACAGCAGGGTTGCCTGTTTGCTGAACAGAGAGCCTAAAACGACACGCAGTCTGCCCAGAATGCACACGCACCCCAAAAGGGGAAGGGGGCGGCCCAGCGTCAGACAGCGGGCAGAGAGAGTAGACACAAACTGCTCGCAGGAAGCTTGGGTCTGGCAGCAGGTGAGCCCCCTTCCTCTGAAGCCCCATGACTCGTCAACGCCACAGAGGGACTCCAGAGGCCCAGCGTGATCTAGGGACCATCCTCCGGGCAGACTCTACGACTTCAAGGAAGAGGACAAGTAGGCTTCGGGCTCTGGTTTTAAAATGGACTGATTTCCACAGATAAAATAGTTTTTTCTGAACATCAGCCTCCTCTCCGATAAGCAGTCCCGTCTCCCCAGGGATGGCCGGAGTGTGCTGCTGAGCTGCCATGTTTGGGGCCGAATGATCGCTCGGCTCCACTCAGCCCTCTAACCGTCCGTCTCTGCGGCCTCAGCCAGGCCTGCTTGTGGAAGGGTCAGGTCCACGGGCATCTTCCTGGCCTGCCCAGGAGGCAGCCGCTTCTCCACAGAGTTGGAAATACTTCCGTCTACGGTGTGACGGTGCCCTCAGTAAGCACTCACCCGTGGGCCACACACGGGAACTCATAATGTAACATCAAGAACTGATAACCAAGCCTGCATTCTGGTCTCAACCCCATCATCTTCAGCGCTGTCTGGCGGCCAGGGGTGTGAGGCAGCCATGATGACCTCCAGGTGACAAGAGCCGCCTCTGAACCCCAGGGACTCGAGGCCTCGGCCCACCCATGCAGGGCAGTGAGCTGTAGGGCTCTGCTCTCGGCCCCTCCCTGCATACCTGCGGGGCCTGCCTCAGGAGGGCCTGCCCTGCAGCTCTGTTCTGCAGACAAAGGCTAAGCAATGCCCTTCCAGAAGGACTGCGATAGCAGCCTGTCCGGAGTCCCAGGCCCAGGCACCAAATCACTCGTCACAGTGAAGGTGGGCAGTGGGAGGGTGGCGGATAGCCCCAGCGTCTGGAGGAGGGGGCACCCAAAGCTGAGCTCTGCGGGCAGCTGTGGAAGGGTCTCTGGGAGAAGAATGTGGGTGTCTGGCAGCCAGGGGCTTTCTGAGCACAGGCAGACTGGAGGGGCAGGGGTGGTGGCTGCTCTGGGTTGGGCTGAGGGCTCCCTAGACACAGGGAATCAGGGCAGGGAGAGTAAGTGCAAGCTGGGAACAGACAGGGCCAGGGACACTGAGCTCAGAGGGGTTGGGGGGGGGGACAGCAGTCAGCATGGAGGTAATGGGGTGGACCAGGGAACAGTAAGTTGGGAGGCTGGGAGGTTCGGCCGGGCGCAGGGGCTCGGAAGCCACATGTCACAGGGCAGGGGGACTGGAGGGGTCACTCGGCTTGGAGAGCACAAGGAGACACACAAGGGATGCTTGAGAGTCCCTGAGTCCTGGGACTGACAAAAGCAGGTTGGGGAGGGGCGTGTCCAGGGCTGCCAGGGCTGTGTGTCTGGGGGCTGATAAGGGCGGAGGGAACCCTGAAACTCAGGTTTCAGGGGATTGCCAAGGTTGAAAGGGGCTGACAGAATTAAGGGGACCATGACCCCTGTGTCTGGGGACACGGCCTGAGGACCGCTGACCCCCACATCTTAGACTCATGGGGCCCAGGCAAAACTCTCTTTCTAGTGCTGGCAAAGCCCAGGACACCCCAACCCTGTGTGTGGGGCTCCCAGGGGAGCGGGGCCCCCTTCTGATCCCTAAGTCCTAGGCGACCCTCTGTCATGGGCTCCCAGGGCCCCAAGTGACCCTGATCCCCAAATCCTGTGCAGATGGGGCCCTGGACCACTCCACCCCCATCCCCTGGACCCATGACCCCCAGGTCACTCCGACCCTGTGTGCTGAGCTGTCAGGTCACCCCAGCCCTGCGCGGGTCCGGCCCAGGGTCCCCACTCACCTCTGGCGCTGCATGTCCAGCCCGAGTCCCAGGCCGAGGCCGAGGCTGGCGGGCGCGGGGCCGGGCGCCGGGCTGAGCAGGCC